TAAAATTTTGAATGTAAGACACTAAAACCTTGAGTCATGCACAGTAAAGGGTATCTGGGGCAATAAGATTAAGGAGACTGTGTTTTTCTAAGGTTTTCAAATGTCACTGGCTTCAAAAGAAATTTTGTGAATGGCTGGTTCTCTGTAAATCGGGAAGTTAGAAGAAGCCTCTTATATTGATTTCTGTTCAGCAAAATAACAAAGAATAGTAAGCAATCTTGGACCAAGCTTACTAGTACTACTATCTTGTCTCCAGCTCCAGAATCCCTCCCCAACTTCCTAACATTTTTCACTGGTTTTGAAGAAATTTAGTGGATGGCAAATTTGACAACAGAATGGTGGAAATCCACCACATTCCAGCCAATTATGAACCCTGGAATTTCTGGTATTGATTGAAATTAATTTGTAAATTAGGCACCAACTAATGTATAACAAGCTTGGGAGACAATACAACAAAAAATCATGTTTTATAACCTAGCTCTGCCTTCTATACTCCTTACTGTATAATCTTGACATTTTACTTAAACATCCAGTTTCATACCAGTTTAAAAATTCTTTCACAGTCTTCAAAGATATTTTAGTGTAATACAAAAATGATCAACTTCACTATGTACATGTGCAGCTTTATGATAGGTGGGAAGTACCAAACAGTAACTTGTAAAAAAAATTATAAATATAATTTGTTGACTCTGCAGCTTTTGATAACAACAGTGGAAATAAAAGGAAAAAAATAAATAATCTAGCAAGAATACACTTGTAGTTATATATGTATGTATTACAGATAGTAAACAAAAATGTCATAAATTACTTCATCAGCCTTGTACATGATCACAAATGTATGATATGGAGAAAGCAACCTACACATGTACAATAAAGCCATAACAATGTTATGTAGACAGGTACAACTACATTGTATATTCTTATAATTATTGTCATGACAATTTCTATGTTATAATTAACTTTAAACATGCATTATATTTACAATTCAATTCAATATTTATGAACAAGAACTTTAAACTGAAACTAAGTTTTTGTTTTTTGCATTTGGATAAAAATTTCACTCCAGATTATATTCTGGCTAACTCATCAATAAGTCACATGTTTATTAATCCGTACATGTACAATGAATATTTCATGTTAAATACATGAGTGATGTATGTAGAATGTACTGAGTGTTTATCTTTAAGAGGCTTCATGTACTTCTGACTAGAAATATAATCTCTACTTTATTCCTAATCTGTATTGTATGAAAGCTTGTAATCAGAACCTCTCTTTATCAATAAGATAGTATTTTTTCTCAAAACCATTCTAACTGCCGTACTCACATAATGCACAAGCGATTACAATGTACAAGAGCATGTACTATCATCACAGATGTTTCTTGGTGTATAAAAGTCATCCTCTTTTTTTTTTAAACAGGATTTCTTACCTTTGAAGTTTATGTGCAGTTGTACAACACAAGTTTACATGTGGTATATGCAGATGAACTTAAAATATATTTGAGCTTTACATAATAGTTCTGCAAAAGAGGATATCTGATCAATATATGGAATTATGAAATAATACTAAAATTTACTGAAACTATTAACCCTATCACCACAAGTATCATTTAGTGCACATAACAAAAGCTTTTAGTGTCTTACTTTCAAAATTTTACTAAACTACTTTTTGTTGTTGTTATACTAATTAGCATAGCATAAAATCTTAGCTAATAATCCATATTTTAATAGTATATAAGTTTAAGGCAATATTTAAAAGAATCCTGAATTTTCCCTGGTGTGACACACATGGCACATTTTCTCTATGTATCTTCTCTTCTCTATTTTATCCACCACCCCTCCAGTAAGTATGAAATTAAGTGTAAATAACTCGCTATAAAATTGTCATTACTCAGACAAACCATAATTTTTATAGCCTTCAATTTTGTTTGGTTACAGAGCTATCAAATAATGAATCAGACCTCTCCTGTCACATTCTCTATTTTAGGATTTGTTAATTGTTCTCACTAATATTTTACTCTTTTAACCCAGACTTGGTACCTGGGACCAACCTCATAAACATTTTGTGCTTGTTATAGTTTCCATGCTATAAATTTTAAGTAACTAAGCAAATGTTAATGAAACTGGCAGTTTATCAGTAAACATTACAATGATTTCAGATGCAAAATATAAATTTTTTTTATTAAATCTTAAGGTTTGTAAAGCAAT